AAATTAATTGATACTAAATGAAATGATTAATTTAAATATAAAATTATAAGTTTAATATTTAACATATAATAAATAACAACACCTCAAAATTTCAAGTCACACTGTCCTCTTTTTATATATAAAAATAAATACATGAACGAGAACTGAAAAGGCTTCAATAATTTAGTTATTAAATATTTGGAGAACCCTTTAAATTTCAAAGCAAGAAAGATAGGGTAGAAACCCTTTAAATTAGAGGCCACAAATTGGTAAACACGCGGTTGAAAAAATAAATCAAATATCAAAGTCCAATTTGTCTGGTGCATACAGCTCAACCGATTTCTGCCCCTTTTTTTTTTTTTTTTGTGTGTGCTTGTTAGAAAGGGTAACTGCTGAAAAAGTTTAGATAGTAATAAATGGCGGTGGTCGACAATAATTTCTTGAATGATATTTTGTTTGTTTCATTTCTACTTTATTTTCAATTATTCTTTCTTCATATAATTTTGAATTTTAAAAAGATTTGACAGATCGCCCATGTTTTTGGCATTTAGGAAAATAGGGACCCTTGTCTCATACCTTAATTTTCTCGTTTCAGATTGGAAGGGGCAGTGAACAATTCTGGGTTGACCCCACTGATTCAATGATTTTTTTTTTATAATTAAAATTGTCAAAAATTAAGTTTTGTCATTAAAATTAAAAATCTAAATAATCATATTATCACAAATAATCATACTTGATTCTTTATTTACCCTATTAGTAGGGTTTTTCTTCCACGTAATTGATAGTACTATTTCCTAATTGTCTCGTGCTATTTCCTTTTGATAAGGCTTTTGGTATATATGTATCTAGCTAAATGTTCATTATTAAAAAATCATGTAATCGAAATTATATAATATTATTGTAATAATTATGTGATATGTTGTTAAAGAATTAAATTTTTAATTTTAATAATCAAAATTAAATAATCTGATTTGTTGGGGCCTTTTGATAAACATATACAAAGACAAGTCTAACTCCTAACATATATGATAATTTTTATTTTGATATATATTGGGAATGGGCTAACACATAATTGCTCCATCAAGAAAAGCCAAGTCGTGTGCATATGGAAAAAACATTGCCATCGTGCTCTTTCAGATGATAGAAAATGTTGGTTTGCATTATTGAGCTGAGCTGTGCGTATTCCATTAATTATTTCCTTTCCTTCTTTCCTTTTGATCCAAATTCCAAAGTGCTTTTTCCCTTTGTTCTCTGGCTTTTGTTCTTTTCTATATTGGGGTGCTATGGAAGAACAATCATACTATTTTTTTCTGCCTTTCTCTCTTTGTATTATGAACATGGCACTAATGTCGTATTGAAGATATATAATTTTGTATTCAGACGGTGTAGAGTATAAACTCAAAATCAACGAAGGGTCAGCTTAATTGTTAAGTTTACTTTTTTTATTATGAAATGTTTTGAGTTCAAGTATAGTTAGTAATCTCTCGCTATACTAATTTTGAATACAGCCAATAAAAATTTGTAAACTGCACATTTTGTGTTAACCTAGAGTTGAGTTGGAGCAACCTATCCCCATAAAAAATTTTCAAACAAGAAAAAAAGTTAAAGCTCAAACAACAAATATACACTATTTGCAAGATGAAAGCATTTTGAATTAATTGTGAGGTTATCGTTACCAACGAAATTAGTCTATGCATGATGAAGCATGAATTAAGATTAGATTGAATGCGTATATTTACTATATTATCAGTGTATAAATTAAAGTTTATAATATTCAATGAATATCAACAATATAAATTAAAATTTAAAATATTCAATGAATATCAATTATCTTATTAATGAGTAAATTTAAAGTTTGAGAATATGGTTAGAAAATTTTTTACTAATATGGGGATAAAATATTGTTTTATGAAATTATAATATAATTATAATTATAATCAAGTATTACATTTATATATAATAAATTACTTGATAATCAAACTTACATACTAATCAACAAACTAAAAACATAAACAAATTCAACATAAAGCTAAACCTAATATACACATAGTAGAATTTGAACTTAAGATTTCAAGGTTCTCAAGCTTTCTTCTTGTCATTAAGCTAATGCCTTATTGGCTAGATAAAATAATTTTAATTCTTTAAATAAGAGATTTAATTTGGATTTAGCATATGGTTTCCAAAAGAGTTAATATCACTTTTGATATTTGAACTAGTAAAAATATATAAATTGGTGCCTAAAGAAATAAAATTTACAATTTATAACATGTATTTTCAAATTAAGTATGATGTCAACCCAAACTCTTATCCTATTAACTATATCAGCTTATATAAGTGATATTTGATAAATATTATCAAATCATGTATTCACCACACATATTATTAATATCTTTTTAGTATAAATTAAAAATATATATTTAACAACTTAACCTTAAAAAATATTTAGAATTGGTAAATCGTTATTTGTCACGTGACATTCACGTGAAATTTTTACAAAAAGTTTAATGCTTTTATTTAAATAAAATATATATAATAAAATCATACTAGTTAAATATTATATAAATTAATAATATTAGAATTTGAATTAAAATGATACATTATTTAAAAATTAAAAATGTACATTGTACAATCTTTTTTTTTCAAAATTCTAATACCAAAAAATGTAATTAACTCTTTTAAAAAAGGGTCGCTGGAAAGCAAGTAAAGTCATGGGCAGGCATGTGAAAGTGAAATGCCGACGAGGGAAAGAAAAGATATGAAAACCAATTATGAAATCTATTATCTGTTTGGCAACACCGACTTAACATTATCACCATGTTCATCCTGTCTCTCTTTCATTTGTTGGAATAAAAATGTGAGATTTATTCTTGATTCCAATCGAATTCTTTCACCTCTAATTATAAAACTAAAGCTCAAAATCAATGGTAAAATTAAGCAGTACGAATAAAAGGCTGGAATCTTCTTCTCTTTTAATTTCCTTCCCTGTGCCATGTTTTTGACTTTTGAGTTAGATATACATGTTCCAATACGGGAATAATAAGCTGCAAAAGTAGAATGATGCTTTCAATATTGGTCGTCAAATCAAAACAATCCAAAAATAAAATAAAAGAATTTGTAATTCTAATTCGAAATCATAAAACTTGATTGTAAAAGCAACAGTGTGGAAAATATAGCTATTATAATTGATTAGAAAAAAAATAATCATTTTAGAAATCGAATATTATTGGGTACATCTTTGAGGTATTTTTTCCCTAATAATCTCTTCTAAAAATGAATTTCTGGGGTATTTTAATAGTGTTTATATTTGATATTGCATCAGCTCTATATGAAACTCATAATATTGTCACCTATTCACATAATGTCAACTTATTATTTATGACATAATTTAAAAGTTTGAGGGTCTTTAAAAATAAATAATTCATGCCTTTAAGGATTTCTTAGCTTTTACCTTATTAATGTCCCTAAAAAAGCTACTTATTAGTGAAACATTAGATCGCTAACAGTAAATCAAATATAAATTATTTTAATATGTATATTATAGATTAGACAAGATAAGTTTTTATCAATTCTAAATTTTAGAAATAACTAGAAGAAGCATTTGATATTTCCTGAAAAAAGTAATATATATATATATATAAGTCAAAAAATTTATCTTATACATGGACGATGGAAATTTTAAATTTCAAAAACAATTAATAGAATTGAGATGTATTTATGAAACTTAATAAATTTATTAATTATTAGTTAAAATAACAACCATTTAATTTTATTTGCAGGGTTTAAAATTTTAAAAGCTATGAATAATATCATATATATATATAATAATTTGATGAGAATGAAATAAATAAAATTTAAACAAATATTCTTTTGAATAAATTATTATAAATAATATATATAAGCTATATGGAGTTTGATTTGGATAAAACTCCAACTTACTTTCGAATTTATTTCTTCAAAGGATAAAGCCGATTAGTGGAATACCATACCAAATAGTATAAACTGAAGTTAGTGGCATTAGGGGAAAAAAATAAAAGAAAATATTTCATGCACTGTTAATGAAAATTTTTGATATTATAAATGAGATTAGAAAGATGATATAAATTTTTTAAAATAAATTAAAATTTTAATTAATAAATAAAATATGTATTATTATTTTAATTTAAAAGATATTTTTAATTCTAATTCAAAATTATGATTTAATATAATTATTTTTTTTATTTTTCATATAATTGGTTTCAAAGAGATACGAGATATAAGATTTAATTTATTATTATTATTATTATTATTATTATTTGTAAAATTAAAATTATTTTTAATGATATATAACAAACGAACTCAAAAGATAAAGAGGATGCTGATATACCATGTCCCCTTCTTTAATTGTACCTTTCTCATTTGTGAGGTCTTCTTTCTTTCAATCGCTTTCCATGAAAGCTTGAATAAGATGCTCTTGTAAAAAAAAAAAAAGCATTTTCTATATTAAATTAGCACATGGTTTTCAAAAAAAAAAAATTATAATACAGGAAAGATTTAAATGAAATTTTTTATTAAAAATATTGAATTAAATTAAAAAATCTTTGTTGCATAAATTAAATGTATAAAATTTGAATTTAAATAAGCATTTTTAATAAAAATTTTAACAAAATTTATACCATTAATAAGTACTAATTAAATTTGAATTACAAATAATATTTTTAAATATTATTAATTTTCATATTAAATTTTATTAATTATCAATTTAAAATTTTTATTAAACCATTTTTTTTAAAAAATTCACAAATTTTTTTTAAAATTTTTCATCTAAATTTGTATTGCTAACGTTAACTTTGGTTTTTTTTTTTTAGCCAGTATCTTAAACCTTTTAACCCACATTTTCCAATTTGTATTAAAATATATTGTTTAAACAAAAACGAAAAAAAAAAAAAAGAACACCTAAATCCATAAATTATTACCAGGCCCACCAAAAATATTCCAATAGTTTGCAAAACATTTCCCGAGTCATAACCTAATGAACTCAGTTACACCATAAATAAAGCTGAGTCATACATCCGATTCAGTTTTCATAGTCCAAGTTCAGGCTTCGATATTCTCAATAAATTCCGTTTTTCTTGGGTCCCCATAGCAGCATTCTATTGCTTTATATATAGTCCACGTCCCAATTGAGAACCGAGTCATCTTCTTCCCAAAAAACACTATAAATCTTCCCTTGAACGTTTTACTTTTCATCAACGTCTAATTTTTCTGCTTCATTCCCCACGTTACGCCCAAAAGTCTTTTTTTTTTCTTTGCTCCAAATTGAAGATCCTGGATTCTAAGGGAGGGAAAGTCTGGACAAGAAAAATAAGAGAAGGGTTAATAATATTACAGGAGAACAAAATGAAAACATGTTTGGTCGTGGATGGTGATTATATTTATGAAGAAGAAAAGCATTTCACTGTTCTCAAAACTTCTCTTTTCTTTGCCAACGATGGTTTTACTGTTTATGATCGTAAAGGCCTCTTAATCTTTCGAGTTGACTCGTACGGCCCTGACCCTCGTGATAAATGTGAAGTTGTTCTTATGGATGCTCATGGAAGATGCTTACTCACTGTGAGAAAAAAGGTATTTTCTTTTTTTTTTTTTTTTGTCACTTGAATGATTTGATTCTGAATTTTATTTAGTGAAACGCAAAAAGAATTGGATTTTTTTTAACGGGTTCTTTTATGATTTGATTTGAATAAATGGGTATAGATTTGATTTCCATATAATTTAAGAAGTTTTGATAACTCAATCATAAAGCATTCTGAATTTTGAGTCAACTCGTTGATATACTTTTTTTCATTTATTTGATATTCATTTTTTACAATAATTAATGTGCTAAATTATCAATTTCAGTTAATGGATTGGGATTTAATTTTTAGTTTATTTCAATCTTAAATTCGTCCAATTGTTAACTAAACCGAGTCAACTCGTCAGTGTTTGGAATTCTCCATTTATAGAGGCAAACACAAAATCTAGTTTAGATTTGCTTTGTTATATTTTGGTTTACTGGATATTTTTATAAATGGGCACGAAAGAAAGGAAAAAACAATTTATTTCCAGTTTTAGTGAGTTAACTCGCTGATAAACTCTCTCTTCTATTTTACCAAACAGAGGCCAAGTTTGCATCACCGGTGGGAAGGCTTTCTAGGCGAAAGATCAGAGGGTCAGAAACCGATATTCAGTGTGAAAAGATCATCAATAATCGGACGGTGTGGGATGACGGTTGAAGTGTTCAACAATCCAGGGGAGGAGTACCAGATCGAAGGAAACTTTGGACAACGCAGTTGCACGATCTTCAATGCAGCCAAGGAATCAGTGGCTGAGATCAAACGGAAAATTGATGCTTCCACTAACGTGGTACTTGGTAAGGACGTTTTCTCGCTTTCCTTAAAGCCTGGCTTTGATGGGGCCTTTGCCATGGGATTGGTTCTTGTTCTTGACCATATCAACGGTGATGATTATGTTGAAAATGATGAGGCTCAGATGATCCCTACCGCAGAGGATTAATGTTTTTTAAGGTTTGATCACTTTTATAGAAAGAGAGGTGGAAAAAATGCTTGTATATGATTACAAAAGTAATAAGAATTGCCTTTGATCAACGTGAAAATGGCTTTGAGAACTTCCTTATTTTGGTACTATTCTCGTGGAAAAACAATAATAAGACAAATCAAATGTTGATCCCACCATTTTTATCTTTATTCTGGTATTAGTTATTTTTTTAATATTTCAAATTATTAGAAATTAATCAATGAATAATTAATTTTAGTAGTAAAAGGAATGTGAATTTTTTTTCTTTAAATTCAAATATGTTAAGAGATTATAAAAAAATAATTTTTTATGAATTTATTTGATTTAATATAAATAAATTTATTTGAATCGACTCAAAAAATATAATGAACGAAATTTAAAATCTCTTATTATTAAATAAAAATATTTTTCAATTAAATTTTGAAAAAAATTAAAATTTTAATATTATATTAACAAATAATATGAAATTACTTAATATTAATTTTATTAAAGAAGTCTTTAAAAAATTTACAAATATAATATCAATCGTATTTTTTTATCAATATCTATTAGTTCAACTAATAAAAAATTCAATTTTTTTAAATAAAATTTTGATTTTAAATTTTATAAATAAAAAAATAATTTAAAAAAAATTATTTTTTTATCAAGTTTAATTCGATTCAATTTTAAATTATTTGAACCTTAAAATAATTATTAAATATCAAAAGATTTAAGATAAAAAAATCGTATGTTTTTTAAATAGGAAATATTATATGAACTTTAAAGTTGGCTTTCAAATAAATTTGCGGTGGTACTGATAAATGTAAAGCCTAAAATGTTTGAAAATTTCACCACTTGAAATTTGAGAGGAGGAGAATATCGCCAACAGCTAGGTTGCCTTTCCCTGCCTTAAATTTGCTTAGAGTTTACGTTTAAACCTAACCTGCCCCCCTTTCACCAACAAAAAAAAAAAAAAAAAAAAAATTAAAGGGAAAGTATCCACATAAAAATTTACCCACTTGTCAAATTGTTCTTGCATTAATTATAAAAGAGCACAAATTCAAAGTTGAGTACGTCGAACGATCCACCACAAAACCGTGAGTGGCTATAAGTGATAGATTAATAAACATTTTTATACGTAGAGTAGAACAATTAAATGCAATTAGATAAATAAATTTAATTATGAGCACTAACTAACTAAATTAACTTAAAAGAAAAAAAAAGGTTCTACTCATTTTTATTATTTTTTTATGATCATTTTAAATATATATTTCTCATATTCGTTATTTGGTGAGCTAGTATTGTTAAGGTAAGTAAGTTCTTGGTTGGGGTTTGAGTCGTAATTTTATATTTTTTGTAAAATTATTGGGTTTTTTTATTATGCACCGAAGGGGTATTAATTAATAAAATTTTGAATAAATTTATCAATTTCGTTAATCGTCGTTGATATCCAACCAAATTGTTACCTTAGCATCATGTGCATGTTGATATAGTTTTTTATATAATTAAGTTAGGCTTGAAGTTAAGAACACAGAATAAAAATAAAAGTAAATCTCTTTTTGACCCTGGAATGGAAATGTTTAATTGGATTTTGTAACCTTGGCCCGGGTCCGAGAATGGAAGGAAGATTCTGCTTGGCCACTAAAAGATGAAAGAGGATTGGATTTTTTTTTTTTCTTTTGCATTTAAAAGTACAAATTAGTGACGTCTCGTTTCATACGGCCGACATTTTATTTCAAAATCCGTCCTAAAGGTTCCTCGCTCGTGTAATCGTCCAAAAAAGAAAACACATCAACAAAATTTCAATTTCAGGGTTCAGCTCGTACATTAAAAAGGATCCCTCAACCATTTTCGCGTACATCCATATAAGAATGACAATTCAAAATGTAAGTTTAAGGGTTAAATATAAAAATAATTTTATATTATATATTTTTTGATATTTTTGATGTAAAAATATTTTAGTTTATCATATATTTTGATATTTTAGATTAATATCGTTAGTCAATTTACTTATATATTTTTTAAATATTTTAGATTAATATTATTAATCAACTTACTTATATAGTGTAGACATTTCATTTTGTCTGAAATTTTTTGTCAATTGAGATTAATCCAAGTTTAGTTGTAGGGATTTTTATTTATTTTTATTTAAAATTTTTTATTTCATATTTATCATTTTTATTTTTATTTTATGATTTATTTTCTTTTTCTTTCTTTTGACTATCTAATTAATTTAAAAAAAAAAAAAGAAAAAAGTTGAAAGATTAAGATTAAGTTTGGTGATTGTGATGATTGTTATCTAGATGTTAATCTTTAGCATTAGATGACTAATTGGAATTGAATTTAAACTCTATCAGCATGGATCTATATATCAACAATGAATATACAAACTAAAGGGAAAAAAAAAAAAGGGAGGAAGAAAAAACAGAAGCCAAACAAAAGGGGAAGCCCCCATCGCCACCAAGCCTTCGAGGCTTCCCCTTGGTGGGAAACCTTCCCTTCATTGACCTTGACCTTCACTCTTACTTTGCTGTACTAACTTATACCTACGGGCCAGTTGTGAAACTCCAACTTGGAAACAGGATTGGTATCCTGGTGACCTCCCTATACATGACTCGAGAAGTGCTTAAAGACCAAGATTTGTCGAATCTAATGGAATTGCTCCAGGTTTGAGAAAGAGGGGACCTTCTTGGAGATCTGAAATGTCTGATGATTGGGATTTCCTCACTTTTGATGCTTCCAAAATGGGCAAGTTGCTTCAAGAAAAGCTCCAGCTAGCAGCAGCCTGGATGGTGGATCACCCGAAGTTCCAACTATCGTACCTGGACCAGGTTCTGGAGGACATGTTGGAAAATGCGCTCCACTTTGTTACGTTGAGTTACTGATGGTCTTAGAGACAGGTAGGAAGAAGTGAGAAGATTTTTTATGGCAGAAAAATATTTGCAGTCAAGGAGGACAATAGGCAGCTCGTTTCACCAACCAGGATGTGATTAGTACAATTTCTTGAATGAACCTTCATTACACAATCAAAGGTCAAAATCTGAAATTCATATCTAACTCTCATTTTCTTCCTCTCTACCCCACCTTGATTGAAGATGAAAATCCCATTCCCATGCATGCGCAGAAGCTTCTACTGATGCTAATTGAGTTTGAGTATATTAAAATCCTTGATATTTTAGATCTGAAAATGGTCTCAAAATGTTTTAAATTTTTGCTTGGCAATTTGACAAATGCAAATGTAAACAATATCAAATTGTGTCTGGCTTCGGCTTATGCTCCAGAGATGGATTCTAAGTTACTTTCGCACCTAAAAATAGTAAGAAAGATTGGGAATCTTTTTGGAGTTCGTATACGCAAAAGGTATGGAAGATTTTCTTGAAATAACTTTTGGCATGCGTAAGGCTTTCCTTCTGCACTCTGTAGGGAGTAGAAAAGGTTTTGTTTATGCAAAAGAACCTACATTTTTAGGGGATGGTTCTTTCAAGTCAAGTGGTCCAGTTGATCAGCGGCACTGCATACGAGATATAATAGATTTTAGCAGCCATGCTGGAGTCTTACTAGAGTTAAGTGCATCTCATGAAGCAACATTATAGATGTAGCCTCCGAATGTGTGGTATTGTTGCTCAAGACAGCTCCAAGGGAAGCCATAACTGGATTCTTGATAAATCTTCCAAAAGCAGGTTCAATACTTGAGTCCTGGTGTAAGGGGATCTCTCACCTGTTCTTGTGACGGATGGTATATGCTGTTGGTTATTCCTGCAGGCAATACCTATCACATGCCAAGATATTGTCAATATCCATACCTGAAATTACATGGATTGAAGGCATTGTTTCTGAGCTGAAAAGGATCAAGTATACCTGGATTAGCCAATGTTGTTTCACTAGTATCCTCAGAGTTACAATAGCTGTCGCGTAGCATTTGAAGTTCTTGAGGCATTTTGGGAGTAACTGATTTTACGAAAGGATATGAACAACCCGTTTATAGAGTTCTGGACTAGGGTGGTCAAAATGATCCATGTTTGAGGATAGATATTTGGTTACCGAGTCGAGAGAATCAGCTCCGAGTGCAGCAAACTATGAGTCTCCAATGACAGATGAATCAGTAGATCCATAAACTTCAGCAAAAAAAAAAATTGAAGCAGACGAAAAAAATAGATTTGAGGGAGAAATATAAAGAAAAGAGAGATTACAAAAAGGCATGGGAATCATCGAGTGAAAGCGTAGTGACCCAATCTGAAACAAAGGCTAAAGTAGAAACACTTAGATTTCTTGTTGATGTCTTTCGTCGAGGTACAAAGGAAGATCCTGCAGATCGCCCAAGTGGCTTCCAGTTCTCTCATTCGGTGTAAATTTGGATCAATGGAGGCTGCAGCAAATGTGCGCACTCTTGAAATAACATTCAAGAAGTTTAGCTTCAGAGGTGTTGATTTGGATGCTTTCCTTGATATGTCCACTGATGAGCTGGTCAAGCTGTTCCCTGCTCATGCCTGCAGAAGGTTCCGGAGAGGTCTCAAGCGAAAGCCCATGGCTTTGATTAAGAAACTTCGCAAGGCGAAAAGAGAGGTCCCCACCTGGCGAGAAGCCCTAACCTATTTTTTATTTTATGTGCTTGTTCAGTTTTTTAGAATATTTTTTGCATGAATAAATAAAAAAGGAATAAAAAAACATAAAATAAAATTTCCAAAAAAAAATATTTTTAGGGAAAAGTTGAGAGTATAAATTTTCTTTGAAAATAAGCTTTCCAAAAAATATTTTTGAAAAAAAGTTGAAAGTGTCAATTTTCCTTAAAAATAAATTTTCAAAAAAAAAGTTTTTGATTAAAAGTTGAAAGTATCAATTTTCCTTAAAAATAAATTTTCAAAAAAAATTTTTGAAGAAAAGTTGAAAGTATCAATTTTTCTCGAAATTAAGGTTTCCAAAAAATATTTTTGGGGAAAAGTTAAAACTTTCAACTTTTTCTTAAAAATAAATTTTCAAAAAAAGATTTTTGAGAAAAAGTTGAAAGTATCAATTTTCCTCGAAATTAAAGTTTCAAAAGATATTTTGGAAAAAAGTTGAAAGTATTAATTTTCTTCGAGATTAAAATTTCTAAAAAATATTTTAGGGAAAAGTTAAAAGTATCAATTTTTCTTGCACAAAAAAATCATATTTTTCTTCCTTTTTATTTTTAA